ATCAAATCTGAAAATGTTATGTACGAGTCATTGTATCATAACAGTCAAAAATTTTGTTACCTTTATACTTACTGTATAAAACAATAAAATAGAGCAATGACATTGAGAAATATACGTGGTTTTCTAATGCATTGACCTACCTCGACGTTATATTGATATTTCTGGCATACATGTTAATCGTATCTTATGATAAGAAGATTTAGGAGGTACACCACCACAGGAATATGCTACTTCGCATTTTACAACTTTCTTTTCTTCCATTTCTGATTTGTTTTGGATTGAAGTCAAATGAGAAAGACGACTATATTTTTCAAGAGGATTCAGTCCACGAACTTTTAAATACTCCAGATAGTCATACATTTACAACACAGCAGCTAAAAACTATTCTTACGGCTTTTCAAAAGGACTATTTAACTCGAATTTCAAAACTCCAGAATGATTTTGAACTCACTCTTCGTCACCAGGAAAATCGCATTCAAAGCCTAGAGAAGAAAACAGCCGAACAAGAGAGAATTATTTCCACTTTGCAGCATGATGTTTCTGCAGTCAGTCCAAACCAAAAGCCGTCAAACAGCCATATGCATGAAAAAAAAGAAAGCTTGAAAAGCAAGGATGACCCCACCGGAGAAGTCAACGTGACTGATGCTTTCTCTACAAATGATGTACCTGGGAATTTAGAAAACAAGGATGTCAGTATCCTCAAATCCAAACAACATGAGGGATTTGGAAGAAAAGGTACCGTTTTAAATACTTTGATTCAATTATAATCTTTTGTATACAAAACTATGATAAAAATGTAACTACAGTAACTTGATTTCAAAAATAACTAACTTACGATGCGCTGATGAAGTTCCTGATTGTTGGAATAAATGTCATTCTATAATAATAAACAGTGTATTAATCTAATTTTCTTTCACAGAAAGATTGTTAATCCCAGATGTTCCAGGAGCAGTTGTTGCCTTCTACGCGTACATGTCTTCTGACCTACCCAGTAATGTAGCAACTCCTCATCACGTGCTTATTTTTGACCACGTGAAAACAAATATTGGTAACGGGTATCATCCTTCCACTGGGGTATTTATAGCACCCGAGACAGGGGTCTACGTATTTATATGGACTTTTAGAAATGCCGATGGTGGAGTTCACTCTACACAGCTCATGATAAATTCAGAAGAGTGGGGGAAAATAGAAGGTCGCACTCCTTCACACGATAGCCTCCAGTCCACGGGTTGTGTGGTGGCCCATGTAAATAAGGGCGATGACGTCTTTGTGAAAACGTCAGATTCTAGCTCGGGATATATTTATAGCAATATTTATGGTAAAACCCCATTCTCTGGATGGAAAATTGATTAAAGGCAGAACTAGATAGTTTTGTTTTCATGAGAAAGATCCGTTTTTGGTGTTAATTTCCCTAACATTTAGGATTGAAAATTGCATAACAATTTTCAAGAAACAGGATTTAGTTCTTTCTGGTATGGGTGTATAAATAACCTTTTTTAATGTTATATTTCGATAATGGATATTCATAATATCAGTTATCGAAATAATTTTCCACAAGTTAATTTATAAATTTGGGACTCTTTTATGTTTATGAGGTTTTAAGGTGCTGGGGGACAGTTTAGGCTGCTTTGTCTTATCGATTTTATAATACTGAAAAGCATCAATTTGTTAAATAAATTTTATGTAGTCCTATAACAATTGTTATTTTCCACGGTTTTCTATGTCTTAATTACAGGAATGTCTTAAATATGTACTCATTCAAACGCAAAACACGCCTAGTTATGCAATATTTATTTTTCAAACTTTTATGTAAAAAAAAGCACGGAAAAGATTATGAACATCATGCTTTCCTTACCAATAAAAAAATTGCAAAGCATTAAACAAAATTCATTTTTTCAAAGCAACTTTATTGTAAATATAATATTTATACCCTTCCCGCTTGAAAAGTGGGAGGGTATATAGTAATCGGTATTTCTGTCCGTCCGTCCGTCTGTCCGTCCGTTCGTCCGTCCGTCCGTCCGTCCTTCTGTTACGCTTTGGGGTACCCATCTCTTATCCGCAACTCCTCTTAAACTACTGAGTGAATCTTAACAAAACTTTTACAGAATCTTTATAGCATAATGCCATTGTGCACCTCCTATTTTAATTTTTAATCTGACGTATATTTTGGATTTTCCAGAGCAAAACATGGACACTGCTATTATATTCATATGGGAGGCGGGGGGTATCATTTAGTGAGCTCATTGCTCACAGTACCTCTAGTTATATCTATTATCTTTACAAAGTACAGGTGTACTTTCTCCTAGATTCCTAAACGTATAATTATACTAATTCTGAATAATTCTTGAGATAAACACAGAGAGAGAGATGTATATTTTTTATAAAACATTTGTAATAATATTCAAACGTGAAAATTTTAAATGATGACCAATATATATATAAACCCTGTATAAAACTTGACATATTACAGAAATATCTGAAAATACATTAAACAAAGTCTCTGCAAATTATACTTTTAAAAAAGGGCATTAAATAAAAAAAAGAGCAGCAAAGGATCAAATAAAGTTCGCTAAAATAATTACTGATTAATCAGCAGAAATTACTTACATGTATGTGTATAATATTCTGTAAATATAAATATGTTCTGATTTATTCTTATCCTTTAGAGCAAGACAATGTGTTTTTTTTTTCAAATGTGCAATGGTTTTGAAAGGTATGTCCTTGCAAGAAAATTATATCGTGTCTTCGAAAAGGATAAATATTAAGTTTAAAATTTTGCCAAATTACTTTTATTACATGAACGGTAAGTCTTCAGTAGTGGAAGGTGTACAGTGTAGAACGTTTTACACTGGTGTAAAGTCACTCGACAGAGACGTGCATTTAGTTCATTATACATGCATGCAGAGTGTTTGAGATAACATTGCAGGAAAAATCACGAATCGCAGAAAATCACACTTTAAATGTGTATGAGGCTAAATATCATAGTACTTGATAATTTACGCAACCCCTTAGCCTTGTGTTCCGATGTACCTATAACCCTCACAATCACCTTAAACTAAACAGTCCTTTGCATAAAACTTCGAACCCTAATTTTGTCTGTAGGATTATGAAAATTTCTTCCAACAGTGCGGTTCTAAAAATTTTTATTTTACATAAATCCTAATTCACCAATTCCATAGTTCATGTCACTTTATTGTGTGCGAAATATGTTTGTAGAGAGTAATTATTTCTAATTTCTAACCTATCAGAAAGAAAAAACCCATGAGAACTTGAACACTTGTGCATAAAAGTGATAGTGCCCAAATTGATTAGGAAATCTGGATAAATATCTCGTTCATAAAAATGAATGTTTGAATTTGGCTTTGATGTTCTAATTGAGACAGATTTATTAATTAGAAATAAAAGATTATCATTAAGGTTATTCGACCCTCATATAATGTCATAGGTTCTTAAAAAATCTTTTATATTTTATCTTTACCCCCCCCCCCCCAATTAATCTACGCAGTATTATTTTCAAATCCCCTTTGGGGAAGCGTTTTCAAATGGCACATTTTTATTGCTAAATGCATTCCATGAAGCCATAAGGGAATCTTAATTGTGTTATATTTGCCTGTTTCAAAAGTGTTGTGTATTTAATATATACTGAAAGGGAAAAGAAACGCATAAAAACAAAATATGCGAAATTTTGTTGACTATCTGAACAAAAATTATGAAAATTAGTCAGATGTGTATTTTGGTTACTTTGCACTAAAATCGCTGGTCAAAACTACTCAACCATGAAATGTATGGCGTCACGTAGGGGAAGTGATAAAAAGTCAAAAACACATCACTTTTGCATATTTGCATTCAGTATTAATTTCTTGCAATCATGGTACAGCTGACGGAAGTTACATTGAGTCTAGTACTTGAATTCAATATCGCGTAAGTGAATAAAAAGGCAACAACATGTTGCTGTGCAGATTGATTTCAACATTTCAACCAAAAAAGTTTCTTTTGGTTGTCAGAGAGTAACATCAATTTCAATAACTTAGGAATTATCAGTCAAATTCAATCAAGATTTGGTAACTTGTTGATTATAGATGAATTAAAATGTATGATAACAATACAGAAAAACATAAATTCAAAAGTAAATATTCATTTCTTTTTCCTTTCAGTAAATATACCGTGTAGTTCGGCGATTACTTTGAAGTCTCTTGCTGTTGCTTCATATTGAATACTAGTATTTAGATATGTCGACGACGTTTTTTTTAATATCAAATATTTAACTTTATTCTGATTTTCATTACATATAGCCATTTGAATCCAAAATAAAAAAAAAAAAAGAACGGGTCTAATATACAGGTATATGTTTGATACTTGGATATTTTACTGGAAAAGGGGGTTAGTAGAAACAAAACTATATAGTTATAATTCTACATGTACGTTTGTAATACATGTATATACTCAACAAAAAAAGAAACGCATATTCAGATTAAACATGATAATCTATGTTTTCTGTTTAATCCTTATTTTTTTTTAAGTGATTTTAGAGGGTTTTAATAAAAATTAAACATATCCTGTGTTGTAAGTAGAAATGTGAAGTTTTTGTCATTGTCGACGCCTCCAAATTCAAGGGGCATAACGACTTAACCAAACCATATGTCCTTTGCGACGTCGAAGCGCTGGTGGATTTCCAATGTACGGATATCGTGCATGAATACCAGCTCCTTTCAGTCTCTTGCGAACAATTTATGAACTTTTATGCTGATTTTTTCATTCAGCAATTGTAGCACCAGTTTATACAGCAAGTTATGAATCGCGTGAGGTGCTGAAAGGGGGGGGGGGTCTGACGGTCCTGCCTGGGTGTGGTTACCTGCGGACGGCCAATGTCTGGTCTTCCGGCGTTAGTTTAACGGTTGCAAAGCCCATCAATGTATTCCAAATGCAGTTGCAACTTTCTGTTGCTAAGCTCCATTTAGTATCATCGTTAGCCTGGTTGTGTTCATCTTTGTTTCGGCGTGGCATTGCAGCATCAACACTGCAATCAAATCTTAAATATGGGTTTAATAGGAGTGTTAATAGTTTCTCTAAATCCAAAATATCAACGAAAATAGACATCCGATTTAGAAGAAATCTTGAAAAACACTACTTTTATAAACACGTTTAATCAAGGGAGATAATTCAACACTTGGGTTTTAAAACCCCATGGTGTCCTTTAAAAAGGTCACAGGTATCAAATGATATACAAGATAATTGTTCCATGTATATTTTAAAAATTTCTTTTACAAGTAAAACAATATGTGTTTCTTTTTTTGTTGAGTATATTTGAGTAACAATTTCTTGATTGATGTGAAGATAGATTCCGGAAAATAGTTTTGATATTAATTTTTTTTTCTTAGCAATCTATGAATCGAAACAGATTTTTTTTTATCGTAAGTCGGGAGAGGACAAACAAACATTATTTTAAAGTTGTATTGAGTTTCAAATTAAAAATTTTACTCCCAATAACAATTTATGTTTGAATTTGAATTTAAAACTGTTGTTTTATGTAACATTTGATGTATGAGTAGCGTAATGTACAGTATTATAGAATGTTGATTTTCTCCCATTGTTTAAAATTTAAAGCCATCAAAGAAAGCAAAGACATTGACATATGCACGCGTCTTTCTTTAGCAAGTGACCTACATCGAAGTTACGCTGGCATATTAAATAATCTTTCAATCAGATAAGAAGATTTAGGAGCTAAGTCACCACTGGAAAATGCTAGTTCGCATTTTACAACTTTTTTCCTTCCCATTTCTGATTTGCTTAGGATCGGAATTAAATCAGAGTTACCAAGACATTTTTCAAGACAATCCAGTCTTCAATACTTTGAATCCTTCGGACGGACAGACAGTTACAACCCAACAGCTAAAAACTATTCTTACGGCTTTTCAAAAGGACTATGTAGCACGAATTTCAAAACTCCAGAATGATTTTAAAATAACTCTTCGATATCAGGAACATCGCATTCAAAGCCTAGAGAAGAAAACAGCCGAACAAGCGAAAATAATTTCCACTTTGCAGCATGATTTTCCTACAGGTAGTTCCAAACAAGAGCCGTCAGACGGTCATATCCTTTTGAAAGAAAAAAGCGTGAATAGCAGTGGTGTTCTAAATGGAGAAATTATCGTGACTGATGCATTCCCTATAATAAATGAACTTAATGATTTTTAAAATAAAAAATTTCCGAGCATCAAATCCAAACGACATAACGAATATGGAAGAAGAGGTATCGGCTTAAGACATATCTATCTCTTCATTTAGAATTAATTTGTATAAACATGTATATACGTATAAATAGAATCCGATGTCAAAGTAGGTTTTTAAACTAAATAACTTCGGGTGTTTCACCTGGTTGATTAAATACATGTTTATCCAGTTTTGTTGTAATTAAAGTTGTATAAACTTAATTATCTTTTGCAGAAAAATCGGTACCCCGTGAACTAACTAGGGCAGTGGTTGCCTTCTATGCATACATGTCTGCTAACCTACCCAGTGATGTAGCAGCTCCTCATCATGTGCTTATTTTTGACCACGTGAGAACGAATATTGGTAATGGATATCATTCTTCTACAGGGGTGTTCATAGTCCCAGAGACAGGGGTCTATGTATTTATATGGAGTTTTAGAAATGGCGATGATGGAGCTCACTCCTCACAGCTCATGATTAATTCAGAGGAGTGGGGAATAACACACAGTAACACTGCCGTAAACGCTTGGAGCCAGTCCACGGGTTGTGTAGTAGCCCATGTAAATAAGGGAGATGACGTTTTCGTGAAAACATCAGGTTATAGCATTGGATATATTTATAGTAATTTTAATGGTAGAACCTCATTCTCCGGATGGAAAATTGGTTAAAGTTAGAACTTATGTTTTTCTTTTCCTGAGAACGAGCCATATCTAGTATTAATCTACGGCACACTTAAGAATGAATGTCAATGGGATTCATGTTTTCTGTAATTGATGTATAAATAACTTATTAAAGTATGTCTCTCGTGAAATTTCTTAAATCAAGGATTTTTTGAAAAGTATGTTTTGGATAAGTACTCGTACAGTGTGACTCAAAATCGCAGAGAAAATAGGGGGTCAGTGTGCATCTTACTGATATTTGGTACAATTAAGTTGACCTTTTTGCACTTAAATTTTAACTCTTTGGTTTATTACTTTTATAAAATTTTCTCTTATTATATTTTATCAGATGTAACCATGACAATGAATTTAATCTTATTGTACGTAAAATAGTTTGAATAATATTTATCATTGAACAAATCTTGCAAATTAATGCGCGTAAATTATTGTTTGACCTTTTTGCACGAAAACGTAACATATTTGGGGTATTAAAAAAGTAAATGGGCAATAGAATAGTTTCTTATATCAAGCTTTGTACGACTTAAGTGCTGATCAGTCATAAGTATCGAGTAGTTTAAAATGATGAAAGAAAAAGTTTGGGTCAGTGATGTTAATTTTGAAATATTGGTCAAAATATGTGAATTTCAGGCAAAAAATGTTGTAAAATTTATCTTGACTTCTTTAATATATCTTCATTAATAGGCATAGTTTGTTGAGGGGAGGTGTAAAACTTGTGCTAAAAATATAAATTAAGACCTATCTGAAATATTCCTAGCAATATCATAACGGAAAATATTCTCCGAGTAAAAGTATGTGATGCTAAAGTTCCAAGTTATGAAACTTAATAAATGTGTGGATTTGCAGATTTATCTGCTAAATATCCTTCCACCACAAGAAATAGTCCTTCATAAATATTGTTTCTCTGTAGCTTATTGAGCGTTTTTTTTTTTCGTTGAATGTTAGAACATTAACATTGTGGAATTTAAATATGTTATAAAAATTGAATTTTAATAAATAGTTTAGAAGCAAAAGGATCTGCGTGAACTTTTCTAAAAAGCTGACGAGTGACATACCTTAATGTTATATGTCGATAATGCATATTGATAATATCATTGATCTAAATAATTTTAAACTTGCTATCTTATAAAAGTGAAGGTTTCCTTATTTATTTGAGTTTTTAGGGCGTTGGACGTCAGCTTTGGGCTGCCTTTCGTAACATTATATAATACTGAAACCACATCGATTTGTTTAATAAATCATATGTATAACAAAAATAACTTTTTAATCTTTTGCTTCTGCACTATTTTTTTTTAAAAATGCACTTGTTCAGACTGAAGACCAACCTTGATTGTGAAATGACTATAAAAGTTTTATTTTGCTATGTATCGAACATCCTTTTTAAGAAAGTAAGTTAAAAGGCTTATAAAAACTGTCGATAAATTTTGTTTGCTAGCAAAGCTAGTTTATTATCAATATGATATATATTATCTTTATATTGTACGGACGTAATTTTCTTCGGGCTTTTAAGACATTCTGTTTCTGGATATTTTATATACGAGTAGTACACATAGTGAGATAATATTTAAGACGTGTGTCCTAAGGGATAAAATATGTATTTTTGAAAAAGTATAATCAAGTTGGAATACTGGTATATTAATACATATAAACCCTGTATAGAATTATTTTTTATCACGTAGTAGTTAACAATATTTATCAAACGTCGTCTGCAGAATTTTGCGTTTAAACCAGAGCCTTCATTATCAAAAGCATCTAAAATTCGAAATTTCGCAGAACTTATACATTTATGTATAACCAAATATTTAGCTGGAGTGTTGAGTTCGCTTAAATGGTATGTGTAAAGTTCAGTAAGCATAAATCTGATTCTGGATCTTTACGATAAGTCAATGTCTTTTTTAACAATTTCGCAATGACTTTAAAGATGTTTGCAAATTTTATGAGATCATATAATATCATGGTAGTTCAACATCAAATCTATGAGAAGAAACAAAGTACTAAGTATTTATTTTTAATTAAACATCGAGTTTTTAGCGATAAGCCTACAAGACATGGAAGTTCAGTAACTTTAGACTGTGTAAAGCCACTAGCGCGTTTAGTTCATAATGCGTTTATAGTAACTGGGTAAAGGTTGCGGCGAAAAGTATTTTCAAAAGTTCAAATTGTAAATTTACAAATATATCGGAAAGAATTTATGCTTTTGAGGTATATGGTGTTATGAATGTATTGTAGCACTTGGTAACTTTTGCATAAACAACTTAACCTTGTGCTCCCTGGTACCTATACCCCCCCCCCTTAAACTTGACAGTTATCTGAACTTAAGTTAAACTTAGATTCCTTATTCTGTCTGCACTATTTACAGTTACGTGGTGATTAGTATGCTTATTAAAAATATCATCTCACTGTGCACTTCTTCAAATTTTATATTGCATAAAGCCTCATTCCATACTCCCTTTGCCCTTGTTTTTTTTACTATGAAGTGTGCACAATATTTTTGCAGTGGGTGTTCATCCTTAGTTTATAACCTATCAGAAAGTAAATTCATGAGAAAATAAACACTTGCGCATTAAGGTGACTGTGTCCAAATCAATCTACGAGTTATAAAGATAAATATTTCATTCATGGAATGGATGTATGAATTTGGCTAGATATTTTTTTTCAGTTCGAATGATTTAATATTATTTCCTACAAGTAGAGAAAATAAAACACAAAATTGTGGAGTGTTGATCATTTTCCCCCACATGTTTGCAAACATAAGCCTGAGTCAGAGTTTATATTTCAATAACATTTTAAAAATTTTTAGAGGTAATTTTTTATTCACTGAAATTATGATAAGATAACGTGGGGTAGTGACATCCGTAGGTGTCCCCCTATAATAACCCTCACTGGGGGAGCAAGGCTCTCCCTATATTTGATAGCAAAATATATGTATTTGAAAGATAATGTTACAATATTTAAATTAATAGTGATTATAATCAAACTGTATATTGACAAAATATTTATACAGATATATGATAATACCTTTATGTTGCGAGAGGAACATACACACAAAACACTGTCTAACACACCCTTAAGCAATGTGTATAGAGGACCAGGTCACCTTTATATACTTCATATAGAAATTCTACTATAAGATGCATATATAAATGTAAATACAATACATGTAATTACAAGTTTAAAGCCAAAGATCTCATAATGGGAATAATTGTATGTGAGGCTTCGGGATCGTTTGGTCACTAGATAAATTTTTTAATCCTTCAAATATAAAGTTCAAGATATTCACATGAGTAACAGGTTTTTTAGAAAAAAAACTTTCAATAGTATAAATATATTCATATTCAAGAAACACATGACAGACAGACAGACATTCTTTATTTCCTATGCAGCAGAGATCAATGCAACAAACTATTCAGTTATATAACAAGAGCTGAACTTTAAAACAAAAATGTACACAAGTTACTGTCAATAATGTAAACACATTTTATCAAGTTTTGATGGTAAAGTTTTATACTTCATGTAAATGAGTATTAATTTCTTTATTCACCGTCAATATAATTTGTGAGATTGGATATCTATCGTGTTTACTATTTCTTTCATCATACATTACAATTATTTTGCTATTTTCAAGCTTGACATATCTATTTCCATGACAGACATATATTTATTGACAAGAAGACTGTGTTTTTGTTTACTGACAATTTCTTCTACAAGTAATCTGTTTTTTTAAACAATAAAATTAGAGTTCATATTTATTTTCAAATTCACTTTACATATACATAATTAAAACCTTAAGCGATATTCTTGACATATTCATTTTTAAACTATGGAGAGAACGATCATAGGCAGTTATGCCTGCTGTTCAGAATGAAATATATTTTAAACTAAACTTAAATATTGTCATATTCCTTCATGTACAGATTTCGTTTCTTGCATTTTACCTTGATTTTAACCTCTTAAAAATGTTATACCTCTTGGTCCTTGACAATTGCATTTAGACAAGAGATAAGAAATTAAGGAAAACTCCAAATCAAAATGGAAGCAGTTAGTTTGGTTTGAATATATTTTATTGTATGGATGTTACAATATAAGGATTGTACAAATGTTCTTAAAACTTAACACGTTCAAAAATTATTTTACACTAGAACCAAAGGTCAATATGATATCCCAGATAGCATGACTACGTTTGGCCAACGTTGGGTCAACGTTGGTTTTGGTTGGATGGTTGGTAGAGTATTGGCGTTGGGTAACAAATGTAGACCCAACGTTGGTCCAACGTTCATCAACGTTGGCATGAAAGCTAAACCAATTGTCTTTGGTTTGCAATGTTGGCCCAATGTTGGTCCATTGTAGTAACATGTTAACAAAATACAAAGTGGCTATGTGTTCGACATTAAAATTTTGGAGCAACATAGGTCCAACTCAGTAAATGTTGGCATGGATCAAGACCATTTTGTTTTGGGTATGAAATGTTGCCCCAACGTAGGTCTATACGAGCACAGGTTAACACAAAACGTGGCCACTTGTTCTTGGACATTCAATGTTGGCCCAACAGTGGTCAAACTTATTTAGTACATGTAAATGTTGGCAATATGAAACATCGCTCTGTGTTTGGCTTATAACACTGGGTTGTGTTGAGCTTATAACACTGGGCTGGATTAGAGCGTCTGCTCTAGAGTCGCGAGATAAGGAGTCAATCCTAACGTCGCGGGTTCGAATCCCACTGTGGGACGTGGAGACCGGTCCCTCAGATGAAACAGTATAAACAGAAGACGCATGTCGCAGTAGGTGCTGGCACGTAAAAGATCCCTCACTGCTCAATGGCCCTAAGTGCAGAGTAAATGACAAAATTTGTTGCTCTCCATCGGCAAGTTGTGGTGTCTACATATAAGTGAAAAATTATCGAGAGGGACGTTAAACAACATACAACCAATCAATAACACTGTGCTGGAGTTATTCCAATAGTGGGAATATTGGGAATATTGGGATTACATGTA